CCTTTGACTGGTATTATGGCCTCTCAGAGCTATTTTTTCCATGGCTTTCTAGGGAATTTCGCCTATCCTAGCTTGATCCTAAAATTTCAAGTAGCATGGATTTTATCAACTCTGATTGATTGATGTGAAACACATTGGACAAGATTGATAAATAAGCTCCTATTGGTCACCTTACATATCTGAATGCATTTTCTCAGCTCTATAAGAATCTAGAGTCCATTATAAGTCATATTGTCTGATGCAGGTAGATACAATACATGGTACTGACAAATCATTGAATACAAGAAAGAGACTGTTTGATCATGGTAAAGGTCACAAAATGCTCAATTAACTTTTTAAAAATCAGAGCCACCGATTCCTAAGTATATGCCAAATAGGTTTTTACTTTTACTACTTAGAAAAGTTCAACTGGAAAAAGTGAAGAAGATAATCAGGAATACTCAATAATAAAGTTGGTGTTCATAGTAAATCAGGAAGTTTTTATTCTATCTCTAAAAAATCACAAGCTGGAAGACTGGAAGGTTAACACAGCTATACCAATCAAAACTTGAGTCCAAAAATGTTAGCAGTGATGTGCAAGCCAGCCAGATAATCTGGGAGATCCTCAATAATTGGTAATACAAATGGTCATTAGCAAGGTATATCAATCGCAAGGCTAGGTGCAATTCTTCTATAAGAAATTAAATCTGAAATACATTGCACAGTTTGATAAATATATTTATATTTAGATAAGAATGAATTTAATTGACAATATACTGGAAGACTTTCAAATCATTCATGTAGATATCAATATATTACCTGGACCTTCTTGGTTACTTTCTCCTCACAAGTCTTAAAACTATAAAGTCTTTCTCTTTATCTCTACCTTATTTCTATAAAGACTCAGGAGAAGCTTCTCCAGATCTTCATTAAAAGGAAAATTCAAAAACAGGATAAATATTTGCTAAAATACATCACTGTTACCTTTGCAAAATAGCACATGATTACTTCTTTCATTTTTTTCATTTATTTTCTTTAATAACACTCACATACTCAATGGGATATGAGTTTCTTTGTAAAAAAAGGGCAATAAGCCTCGAAGTAGCTTTAGCTTATCAAATTCTTTATTCACTCCTGAATATATACACCTGTATACATGCATTGTGCAACTATATAAAATGTAATTTGGAACTTAATAATGATTAGGCATAAGCCCATTTAAAAAAATATATATATATATATATTTTTTAATTTAACCCTCTGTTAGGCTGGTTATGAATGTTTTATTAAATAATTGTAAGCTATATATTATATATATGACGCTAAAGCTAAATCTTTAACTAACTCACTCGTCAAAGTCTTATATTTATATAGGACTCTAGGTGCAACTTCAGAAGTGATTTATTACTTTATTAGTAGTTCAGGTGAAAACCTTTCTAACTTCTAACATTATCGCCTACAGGTCATTACTGTGGATTACTGCACAATGTTCTGATAAGAATCAAAATCCAACCATTTCATCCCATATTTAATCCTATTTCTTATAATTTCTACAAGATTTTTGTTTTTATTCTCTTTCACTTCTTCTCTTTACCTTATGCTTTTGTGGCTGAAATTATCATGCAGGTCTTGTCTTCTTGCTTCTTGTACCTTCTTATATTTTGCTCTTCTATCAATTCTTTATTCTTGTTTCCATTCAATGATTTTTTCACATCTCATGTTTCAGACTTGTTTTCGAATCTAGTTGCAAACCTTCTTTTGTACTTTTAGAATACATTTTTTGCCATTGTTCTTAGCTTCTTTCCATGACAATTTAGTTTAGCAGCTTCTTTAATTGCATCATCTTCTACTAATTCTGCACAAAAGTTAAAAGTGCTTGAACTAGTTTGCAGGCTAATTCTATTAGTTTGGAGGTCCATTTATCTAATTCACCTTTTTATTTCTATTATTGACTACTAGTTGTACTATTTTTTCATCCACTTCTCTCTTACATTCTTGATTAACTTGTCAAATTCTTTTAGAAAGTCTCAGATTTTTTTTGCCATATCACTAGGATTTCAATCTTATAACCAGAGCATTCTAATAAGTGTTCTATTATCTCTTGATGCTGATTACATGCTATACATCTTGCTTGCTTATATTGATCTGGTTTTTTATTACTAGCTTTCTTAAGGTGGTAGTTCATCAGTAGTCAATTTAACCAGAAAACTTCTTCTCTGTAAACTTTTGAAAGAAGTATTCCATGTATTTCCATCCTTTAACCTATCCCATACCATGTCCCATGAGTAGGTTTAATACTTATAAACTTGGTGATACCATTTTGTCTCTGTTCTGTATTACTGTGTCCATGATTGAGCCATTGATCTTTTATTAATTTGTTTAATAAACTGTCATATTGAACTATCTACCACTTCTTCTTACAATATAGTTTTTATAGATATCTTGCTTGATTTGAGACTCTTCCATTCTATTGCTAGTAGCTTTAATGTCTCTTTGATCAGTTGGTCTGCTTCTTTATTTCATGGATTATTAGATTGGGCTTTAACCTTGGTTAAAGTTAATTGAATATACTTTTTCTTTACAAAATTTAACATTCATGTCCATAATAATCAATTCTTGTCTTTTAACTATCATTTGTATATTATCTTCAGATCTTCTTTCTCTAGCTTTTTCTATTTAGAAATGTAGACTTGACTATCTGTAAAAATCTTGACAGTACTATCTATCAAAACTACTAAAGCTATTGTAACCAATACTACCAGTTCTACCCTTGTGGATGAGGGCCAGTTTTTGACTCCTGTCTGAAATTTACTTTTTTTCCAGCTCCTTCTGTTTGTATCCATGTTGCACCCATTTTTGCATTCTAGTTTTTGTATATTTTATTATTTGATATTAATTATTATAAATACAATATATTAAAATTTGAATTTTTAATTTAATCTTTAATATTAAATAGATTATTTAAATATTGATAAACTTTTTATATAATATCTATAATAGCAATATTTAAAAAATTTTAATAATAAAAATTAAAATTAGTTTTTAATAAAGAAATAATTAATTTATATTAATAACAATAAAGTATATATTATTAATATATATAACTATTACAAATTTATTATATTAAATATGATTTAAGTATAAAAACATATTGATATTTGATTTATTATTACGTTTTAATAAATCAAGTTTATAAGTATTAAATAAATTATTTGGAGTAAGTAGATTTTAAAACATTAGGCTCATATATAGGACTTAGTATGGGAAAGAGTTAAAGATGGTCACATGTGAGATATATCTTTTAAACAATCCTAACAAAGAAGCTTTCTTATTAAACTAGCCAATGATAAACTATCTATTCTAAATAAGTTGGCTATAAAAAGACTGGACATATATAAGCAAGTAAAATGTATTACATGTAATCAACAAGACGAAACTATAAAACACTTGCTAGAATATTTAACCTATAAAAATTAACTAAAAGAGTTATAGAGTAAAGGAGTAGATGAAATTATTAGAAACTTTAAAGAGTTACCATGAAAAAGAAAGAAAAAGGTTAAAGAGAAAAATCCTAGGTTAATTATAGATGACTGAGAAGAAATAGAAGTGTTTGACAAATGGATCTCTAAAGTAGTAGAGCAGGCTTCTAAAACTAGTTAAGATATGCTAAGTTTTTGTACTAGTCTTATAAAAACAGATATTATTCTAGAAATAGTAGATCTAAAATATCAAGATAAATATATAGGAAAAATAATAAAAAAGTGAATAATGAAAATATAAAGAGGAGTCTGTAATCAAGTTCAAAAAGAAGTTTGAAACAAGAAATATAAAAAGGTAATTGAATAGAAACAAACACAAGGAATTGATAGAGAGAACAAGACAAGAAGATCTCTAAATTTTTCAAGTCAGAAAATTATACTTCTAAAAAAAAAGAGACCCACTATTTGAAGAAGAAAACCTTGAAGATGAAAATATCTAAGAAATTTTATCAAAAAGAATGAAGTATTAAATGAAATAATTGAGTTTTAAGCTCTATCAGATTCTTGCAGGGTAATCTATAGTATAACCTGTAGGCAATAAAGTTAATAGTTGGAAGGGTCTTTACCTGAACTGCTAATGAAGCAATAAATTACTCCCAAAGTTATACTTAGAGTTTTAATAATTCTTTAAAATAGAAACAAGTAAGTTATATAGAGACTTAGCTTTAGCAATACATTTTTTAATATAAAATATATACATATATATTTAATAAAGCATATATATCTAGCCTGACAAAGGGGTTTTTTTTTAAAAAAAGTATTAAATAAATTATTACTTTTTTTTTTAATACTTGTAATCAAGTTAAATTGTAATTTATTAATTTATTAAAAATATAAGTAAATTTTCACTTAAGCAATATAATATAAACTATAGCTAAATATTTTTATCAAATTCAATAAACTTATTTTAAGCAATAATAGTTTCTAAGTTTGATCTTGAGAATAATATTTCCCTCCATAATAGTTTTTAAATAAATATTCTTATGGTTGACCATTTCATTACCAATAGATTATTACTATTTAATATTCTATTAAGCCACTGAAATATAGGAAACTACAAAAGAATAGATTGATAAAAGGCAAAAGAGAATATCTAAAAATATCAAAATAAATTAAGAAAAAATAAATAAAAAAAAAATAAAATTCTTTGGCTTCTTCAAAAATTTGCTTTTTAAGATTTCTTTTTAATAAGAAATATTTAATTGGAATATTTTTTCTTCTCCTAACTATTTGAGGAACTTATCTATTCTTAATCTTAATTTCTTTCTTACATATTGTTATGGGTCACGTGGGTGACACAATTTACGCGTAATGGTTTAGAATCCAAAAACCCGAAAGTCTGGCATGAAAGATTGAGTGTTGCAAGATAAGAAACTATAGATAAAGCTCGGGTACTGATAAGAAAACTATGTTGGTATCGTAAAAAAAAAGGCGTTTATGTGACTACTACTTCATTATTCATAATTTTCTTCTATTTCTAAGGTGGAATAGTGTCCCCCGCGAACCCAACATTTAATGTCGTTGAAGCATCATTCCAATTATCCGACTCTGGTGCTTCCTTTATAGTTGCACATCCTCTAACCCTTCCCATAGTTGTTAAAGCTGCTGCCGAAGCTCAAATTCCTTATTCTAAAATATTTGTATTCGGTGACGAAGAGATCGATGGAGTTCAACCGTACCGGACATTATTTGTCGATCGAGAATTTGAGCCTATGGAGTATACGCCAGAAGAGTCGAGAAATACCACCGCATTTTTATGTTATAGTTCGGGTACTACTGGAAAAAACAAAGGCGTTGAAACTACTCACACAAACATGGTTGCAAATGTGTCACAGATGGTTTCGTTTGAGAAGAGCCTCAATCAAAACAACGTTCTTATTGGTATATTGGTATGTTGCTTTAGTTATCCATCCCTTCCATCATTATTTTTCCTATTGGCAAAAATTTGATTCTTGATTATCACCTGTCCACAGCCGTTCTTCCACATTTATGGGTTAACCATGCACCTCCATTTCGTTCTAACTTTGGTAATTACCGATTCGACTACACCAAAATATCAATGAATTTGATAAAATGAAATATTGATGCAACAAATTTTTCTAAAGGGTGCCTCCCTAGTCATAATCCCAAAGTTTGACTTAGCAACCTTTTGTCGCATAGTTCAAGATTATAAGGTCGACTATGCCCACCTTGTACCCCCAATAATTCTATTATTAGTCAAAAGTCCAATTGTTAATGAATATGACTTGTCGAGTTTACGAACAGTAACTAGTGGTGCTGCTTCCCTTAGCAAATCATTAATGGATGATTTGTATAATACTCATAAGATTTCTATCAAAGAGGGATATGGTAATTGATAAATTTGAGGATGGCGTTTATTTGTTTAATAACTTACTTAATTATTATATTATTCGTTGGATCTTTATCTAGGGCTCACGGAAACGTCCCCAGTTATTAGTTTTACCGAGGGTACAAATATTGTTAAAGGTATTATATACACCAAAATATTAGGCAAATTTGATTTTAACTAAAAATGCAATTTTTTTTTTCTGAAAAGGTTCCGTTGGAATTCTGCTTTCAAATGTTGAAGCAAAAGTTATTTCGGAGGATGGACAAGGCAATAAATATATTTTACTTTATGATATGGTATCATATACTGTAAATGGCTTTAATTATAATGATATTCTTCTTGATTCAGAATTGGGGCATAATAAACCCGGAGAGCTGTGCGTTCGGGGTCCAAACGTAATGAAGGTTTGGTTTCTAAATTTCAACATTTTCCAAATCGCGTATAATGAGCATACACTGAGTCATTTGATATTAATTTGCAGGGATATTTAAATAATAAAGATGCGACTGACTCTGTAATGGACAAAGATGGATTTTTCCATACAGGGGACATTGCCATTATGGACGAACAAGGTGAATAATATATTTTCATTATTGAACCGGAATTTATTTTGAATTTAATATTTACTCGTTTGTAGAAAACTTGTACATTGTTGATCGAGTCAAAGAGTTAATAAAATATAAGGTAGGCGATATTTTTTTTTTATCAATATCATATTCACCTTTTAATATCTCTCGTGTATATTTTAAACTAGTGTTTCCAAGTTGCTCCCGCAGAGCTAGAAGAAATCCTGGTCTCATACCCAGCAGTGTTGGATACCGCTGTAGTTGGTGTTTACTGTGAAGAAGATGCCACCGAATATGTTTTAGCTTATGTTGTACTCCAGACTGGCTACGAACAATCACCAGAATTAATTACTAAAATAAAAGAATATGTTTCTGACCGAGTGGCACCGCATAAAAAGTTGAAGGATGTGATATTTATCGATCAAATACCAAAAAGCGCATCAGGAAAGATATTAAGAAGGATACTGAGAGAAAAGGCTAAAGTGGAGTACGTGTTTCCTCTTCAGGAATAACAGGGATCCTTTTTTTTTCTTTGAACGAAGGCTCATTTCCAAATAGTCATCTGATCAGGTAGTGTCTACCATTGGTTCATGCTTGCACTATTTACTGTAAGTCTAACGAATTCCCGACTATACTGTATCTTAGAATGTCAATTCTGCAGATGGTCATAGTTATTAATCTATTATAAAGATCAAATTTAAATATAGATTGTTATTTATACAGTTACCTGATTTTTTAATGTTATGTAAAGGTTGCAATCGATAAAGCTCAGACGATATTTTTTGTATAGATTCTTTCTTGTATCAAGGGATCACAAAAATTAGGTGACAACGAAATTTGACGAGGGATATACCAACAGTGCTTTACACGCCGTTATCTTCACTGCTTCTTTCATTTATTATTTGAAAGTAATTACCCTCCGCTCGCGATATGATTTTCGATCTTATGAGTTCAAGCTCTGAGATCAAGGAACGGTTATTGCTGCTATATAATTTCAGTTCAGAGAACTATCCATTTATACTTATAAAATAATATAGTTTGAACAATTATTATGCAAATTCACTTAGTTATTACTATTATAATTATTATATGTAGCGCTATCTAATAATATTCTTCTAAAAATTTTTAAATTGTCGATTTTAAAAAAGTTATCATTAAGATAGTATTAAAAGACTATAGATGTTTTGATCAAAGGAACTTTATTAAACTTTTTAACTAATGTTTTAATAAGTAATTTATTATTAATAATTTTTATTTGACTTATATTAAAATACTTAAATCTTACATTACATAAAATGATAACAATTCCAAATATTCATTCGAATTTAATAAGAATTTTGCATTGCATTTATTTCATTTCAAAAAAATAATTTTATTCATTTATATCAAAATAATCATTTGTTAATTAAAATTCCAAAACTTTATTAAGATCATTAAGATCAAATTTACATACAGTATATTGAATAAATTTGATTTATATTTTTAATAATAAAATTAATACATTTTAAATTTTTATTAAGTTTATATTAAATATTATTATTATTTTTTAAAATTTTTATTCAAATAATAATTTAATTAAAATTTATTTTCTATTTTTTTTTATTTTTTTTTTTAATTATAATTGATATTAGATATGTGCTCTTTATTGATAATTAAATCTTAAGTATAATAATAATTTTCTTGTACATTATATACAAATTAATAATAATCTATCATAATTTGTTTTAAACAAATTTATTATCCTTTACTAAAAAAATAAATCTGACTAAATATCAAATAATTAATATATAGTTCTCAACAATATTGTTAATATAACTAATTTAAAACTATATATTAATCTTATTTTACCATACTATATACTGTATATTAGTTTATATATTAAAATTAAATATTTAAGAATTATCTAACTATCTAGATACCTTCTTAATACTTTTACTTAAATTTCTATCTTTATTATTACTATTTGCAACATTATAAATAAATATTATTTGATAGATTCTTTATTTAAGTAAGTATCAAATTAAAATAATTAAGTTTTAAAGTTTATCAATACAATTTAAAATAGAAAATATTTGGATAATTATTGCAATTTTAAAAATGGAATTCCAGAATCTACTAATATAATTTAGAATTAATAATATTTTAAATATTTATTATAATTTTAAAAACAAAATACTGAGATTTATTTTTTATTCAATTCAAAAAAAGATAAATCAAACATATTTCATATAATCAAATCAAATGTCTTTTTTATACAATTCTTATAATAGATTAGTTTTAGTTCAATAATAAATAAAAAGATTAGAAGTTTTATTTTTATATTACTTAATTATTTTTTCATATGGTCTTTATATGATATTAAACTTTAAATTTTATAATTACAACTTAAAATTATAACCATAATACTATAAACTTACAAATCTCTTAATTAAAATTTTATTTATTTAAATATTTTAATAAAAATTTAATAAATTTATATTTTAATAAAAAAAACTTTTTCTATTAATTCTAAACTCTTTTTACTGATTCTCCAATTATATACAAAAAAGATGTTTACAAGAAGTTTTTACATTTCTTTGCTAATAAAGTCTTAATAATTTCCTTAAAGCAACTTAAAGTATGACTTTAAAAGTTGTCTTTATCCTTTTTCTTTTGTTTACAAATCTTTTCACTTAAAAATTTGACTTTTGTAATCAAGAAAAGTCAAATAACTTCCTTGATAATAATGATAAGAAAGTTTCCAAAAAAAGAAAAACTGACTGTAAAATATCCAAAAACTTATTTAATCTTTGAAGCAAGAGATTTATAAAGGTTTTCTATAATAAAAAGACTTATTTTCTTCCTTTTTGACTGTCTTGACTCTCTTAAAGCTTTTATTTTCACAGTTTTTTAAAAAATTTTACCTACCTCAGTTTGATCCTAAATTTTGAATAATACAAATTCCTATCAAAGTAATTGACTAACATAAAATATGTTAGTTTTTGAAATTTAAACAAGCTTCTATTGATTATATTTATATATTCTGATAATGTCATTGATAATTGGAAGAAACATTCCAAAAACAATTATTTTAAAAAGTTCAAATTCCTTAATGAAGACTTCCATAACATTAAAAAATCAAGTGATAGATAATGTAAATTGCAACTTCTATCTCTTACCTAAGTTTCTCAAATAGTGATAAAGTTTTAATAAAAAAAGCCAAGAATTAAATGCTTTTCTTGAGATATTCCAATCTTATTTACTTAAATGAAAAATTAGTTGGATTAACTTGTTTAAGTCATAGGTAATAAAAAAGAATGTTTTTTCTAAAGTTCAAGTGAAGCAAGAAGACTATTTTAATCAAGTAAATCTTTTTTAAGAAAAGAGTATTTTATTTTGAACTTTTTTAGTGGATTTTAAATTGTACTCTTCTTTTAATCATATTTAATAAAAAATAAAAAACTCTTTTAATTAATTCTCTATTTATATATAAAAAAAATATTTATAAGAAATTTTTTATTTTTTTACTAATAAAATCTTAATACTATTATTAAATCAACTTGAAATTTTATTTTAAGAGATATTTTCAAACCTTTTCTCTTATTTATATTAATCTTTAAACAAAAACTTAACTTTTTGTAATTTAGAAAAGTTAAGAAACACCTTCTCTACCTATATCAAAAAACTTTTACAAGGAATAAAAACTAATAGTATAATACTTAAATCTTTTTATATTTAAGTATACCTATAGAAGTTTTATATAGTGAAAGGTAACAAATATCAAATCATATTTTTAAAGTATCTATCCACTGTTTTTTTTCTTTATAGTTATTTAAATTTTTTGATTTTCTGGAGAATTTTATCTACTTCAGTTTGATCCTAAATTTTAGATAATACAATCTATTATAAAATATAATTGGTAAATATAAAACACATTAGTAACTAAATCTAAACAAGTTTTTATTGGTCACCTTAATGTTCTGATAATATAATTAGTAATAAGAAGAGTTGATTGATACTCTATTTCTATCCTATTTCTCCAATTGGATTAATCTACAGATCAAGTTTTATGAGATTAATAAGATACAAACAACAAGTTTCCAAGTGATAAAAAAACTTCTATTTGTTCAAGCTAAGATCTTTTTTTCTTATTATTCTAATCAGGCAAAGTTTAAGATCAAGATCTCTTTCTTATTTCAATTAGGCAATAAGACTGAATAGTTTCTAGTTCATACTAAGCTTTAACTCTTTTATTACAATTGAAAATTCATTTTTCAATAATTATTGAAGAATATTCTAATTGATGAGGATTCCTAATACTGTGATACACTTTTACTATTATAAAGCAAAAAAATTGTTGAGGAATATGACTTTTTGAATAATAAAAAATATTCACCAGTAAAAATTTTTTAATTAGGTATGGTTGCTGGAAAATATTATACTGAAACAATATGTCTTAATTCCTATTGGATTACATATGAATCTGAATCTATCATAAATCACCTGTTTATTGCAAGGAAATAAAAAATCACTATCCAAAAAAGATTGAAACTAAGTATATCCTAAAGTAAAGACTTCTATTAGACAATAAGTTCTCTTAAATAATATTGTCGTGGGCTAATCCAGTGAGTCCGTTACTAAACCGTAATGCCTCGCGTAACCCAGACATCTCACAAATACTCACAAAGAAGAGAACGCCTCCTATAAAGAATACCTAAGGAAGGCAGAGGCGTGGTGATTGACTTGGCCAAAGTTAAGTGTCTCTTTATTGCGTTCTGTTTCTTTGGTATCTCTCTAATTCTTATCTCTATTCTCAATGAAGGCTAACATATTCAGCTCTCTTCTCAAGGAGGACTGTTTTTCTAACACAGTCAGCTTTGCTTTTTCGGCATACATTGGTAAGCTATTTATACTTTTCTAACAAACAATGGGCTATCTACTTTATAATCGGCTATACTAACCCTAAGCTTTGCTAAACTTTCCATACTTTTTCAAATACA